TATTTATTTATTTATTATTTTTATTATTTTGCTGTCCACTCCATTCATATTTACTCCCTCACGTGCTTTTTGTTAGGCCATTTTCAAGTGAATAATGGGCCCACTAAACTAACCCATTGGGCTTTATACAGCGATTATAGCCCAACTAAAGTTTACGGGCCGAGTTTCGTATTAACTTATAAATTCGGCCCATTTGGCCCATTTGCGACTATATTATACTAATTAATTTGATGTATCAACTCGTATACTATACTAAATGTTGACGTAGTATTCATAGTTTTTTAAATTAATGAATTAAATTATTAAAATTAAAAAAACTAAATTCTTACTTTTGTAAAAGTTTAATAATTAAAGAAAAATTCAGTTTAAAGTATTAGATAAGAGAATCCCACTTTTATTAGAAAATGGGTATGACACGTGTCAACACTCAATTGTCCACGACTAAATAAGACACGTGTCCATATGACAATACGTGAGTTTGCTTATGTAAGACTTGTTGGATTATTATTTAATTTTTTAGTTTTAAAATTCAAACTTATTTTCCTACCATTTATATACCACAACTTTCACCTCAATTCTAAAAATAAAAATAAAAATAAAAATAAAAATAAAAATAATTTAATAGAAACTATTTTATCAAACTTTATCTTCGGAAAATAATCTTAAAATTTTTAATTTAGACTTTAAAAAAATCTAAAATAATTAATACTCCAACTTAAAAAAAAGTTTTACAATTAATGTACAGATGAAAACGTCTATAGACACCTCATAAATTATTTCTTTTTTTAATGTTGTTTAATTTTTTAAACCGTTTGATTTATTATTAAGACATTGAAGTTTTTTAAAAAAATTAAGGACTTTCTAAAAAAGTTTGTAGGCTATTAATGGAATTTTGGAAATTAAAAAGTATTTTTAATTATTTTTTAAATTTTAATGGTATTTTTTTAGATAGTTTCCTTTTGACTTTTAGTTTTTTAATTTAAGGGTAATTTTAGAGATTTTTATTAATTTAATTCGGTAATAAATAACACAAAATAGGAAAAAAGAATTACTCAATAATAACAGGGGCATTTTGGTATTTTCATCTATGTACCTCCATGTATAAAACATTCAACAAACCGACCTCCAGTGCCATGTGTGTGCTGCAGTGCACAATCCGTTCTCACTTCTCTCTCGTCTATAATCAGATCAGAGAAATAACCCACAGATTTTGCCCGAAATGGGCAGTTTCATGGCCGATTTTCTCCAGCAGTGCGGCGGCTGCAGCGTCATTGACGGTGGCTTTGCGACCGAACTGGAGCGCCACGGCGCCGATCTCAACGATCCTCTCTGGAGCGCTACATGTCTCATCAGTTCTCCTCACCTCATCCGTCGTGTATTTTTATCTCTCTCTCGATAATATTTGGAATTAATTTCATAAGATTTTCAATGTATTATCGTTACAAGAAGATTCGAGTTTATAGCGTTTTCGAGAGTTTTTATCAAATGAAATAGTGAATTCTAATTAGATTGCCCATTTTACCGACTTCTGTGTCGTCTCTTAGTACCTGCTTCGAACAAGTTATTTATTTAATGATATAGAAATTTTAGAAAGAAAAATTAAAATTTATCAAGCTTTTAGATGTTTTTAAGAGTTCATAAAAAATAAAATTTTAAATTTGATTTCAAATTGAAGTGGTGTTAAGGACAACACGTTGTAAAGTTATTTTTGTTATTTATTATTTTGAATTATCTCAGAAGACTAATTTGCAATATGATATAGAAATGTTTCCTGGTTATCAACTGATTTACAGCTCAATAATGGCAGGTACATTTAGACTACCTTGATGCTGGGGCCAATATCATTTGCACAGCATCTTATCAGGTTCGTTTCTCCGCCCTGTTCTGTAGCTTCTAATTGTGTTTGGCTGATTTGATTCAACTAGTATCACTGTTACTCAAGGTCTAAAATCTATGCAGGCTACAGTTCAGGGTTTTGAGGCTAAAGGATTTTCTACGGCTGAGAGTGAAGATTTGGTAAGGAGAAGTGTTGAAATTGCACTTGAAGCACGTGATATCTATCTCCAACGGTGTACTAAAGATTCTTGGGATTTTCTTGGAAGTGGAGGGAGTTGGAGAAGGCCGATTCTGATAGCCGCCTCGATTGGCAGCTATGGGGCTTATTTGGCTGACGGATCTGAATACAAGTGAGCAAAATCGTAGCATACTGATTTAAGTTTGGACTTCAATGCTTATATGAATTGTTATATCCTTTTTACAGTGGGAATTATGGTGATTCAGTGACTCTAGAAACACTGAAAGATTTTCACAGAAGAAGAGTGCAAGTTTTGGCTAATGCAGGTGCTGACTTACTCGCGTTCGAGACGATTCCAAACAAGTTGGAAGCTCAGGTATGAATTTGCAGTTGGAAACTGGTTGTCGTTGTTCACATTTTGTAATCCATAGGCAAGGTTCCGATATTAACTCCTTTATGCTGCCTATGTGGAATTTTCAGGCATATGCTGAGCTTCTTGATGAAGAGGGCATTCAAATTCCTGCTTGGTTTGCTTTCAACTCCAAGGATGGAATCAATGTGGTTAGTGGGGATTCATTATCTGACTGTGCCTCCATTGCGGATGCTTCAAAGCAAGTTGTTGCTGTTGGAATCAACTGTACTCCTCCCAGATATATTCATGGGCTAATCTTGTCAATTCAGAAGGTAAATTTTGACAATATCCTTCTGTGACTTTAGAGCTTGAAAGAGTTCCATATTAGGAAACCTTAAAGTTGGTTTAACTTCAACATTCTCATCATCTAAAGGGTAAATTTTTAAAAAATAAGATCTGTCCACAAATGTCATCTAAGCCATTTGGTGATTGCGAATTATTTTGTGTTGAAATGAATTCAATGCAACCTCTCTTCATGGACAATGGCAAGATTTATCACTGAACATTTGGGCATCTGCCTCTAAACTATGCAATCTAGAAATGTATGTATAGTTGATCCTTTAATGACAAAGGCTTCTGCTAAGGCCCAATGATAAGATTAATGGACATAGGAGCTGATGGAACAAGATAGCAAGCAGCTTAGTAATGAAAAAGAGAGCATAGAAACCAGTCCTCAGATATGTGTTCGTAATCTAAGTGAATCTGGTAATCTACATTGGCAGGTCACTTGCAAACCTATATTGGTATATCCAAACAGTGGGGAGACTTATGATGGTGAGACCAAACAGTGGTCGGTGAGTTTTCTACTTTAATCTTGAGCGAGTTAATTTAAAGTCACGATTTCTTTCCTTCGCATCGATGTACAAGGAAGAGCAAACACACAGAGAAAAACCCAATTCCCCCCTTCCCTATCCCACTCTTTCTGTAGATTAGCCATTCTCTCTTTTGTACTGTCTCTCCTCTGAACAATTTCGTGGCTTCTTCTATTGATGCAGAAATCTGATGGAATGATAGAGGAAGACTTTGTCTCATATGTAAGAAAGTGGAAGGAAGCTGGAGCCTCTCTGTTTGGTGGGTGTTGCAGGACAACTCCAAACACAATCAGAGGCATAGCAAAAGCGCTTTCCCTTAACAGCGTTTGAGCTGTTTTTGTCAATTTACAAGCTTTGGTATGTATTTTTCTCAATATCAGTTGTTCTCTGAATCGTGGTGGTCGTGCTAGAGATAGAAACAGTCATAGATGATTATGCGATAGACATCCTTCCAAACGAGATAAGATTAGTTCTTGTAAATATTGAAGAAAGCGAGTTGCTCATAAGTATAAACCCATCCCCCTGCCTCCCCCTTATATTTATTGAGATTAATAATGATATCGTTGGAATACTTGATTCAGCTCGGGATATTTTATCGTGTTGAGTAATTATTTAATCTAAAGAGAAGGTTTGTTGTTAGGCATTACAAAATATCCTAAATACTCTAGATTCTCAAATGCTAAATATATATATTTTTTTCCTTTCTTTCACAGACTTTGATCTTACAGCGTTTTCAAGATGCAATAATTTTGAAACTGATAGTGATGGATGGTTCCATTGCAAACCACCAAATACAAAACTCGGGTGCCTTCCCAAAACTAGAAAGGGAAGAAGCTTGAAGACAAAAGCAAGAACACAATTCCTGGTGTGGAGCGGATATGAAGATATATACCAATCTTGTACTGCTCCTACACTGACTGTCTCACTAAAGCTCTAGGATTTGGGTTTAGATTCTCTAAGAGGGAAAAATAAGAGCTAATGTTGTCGGGTTCTGTAACAAATATCATTTGATGGCTATCTCTGGTTGTCTTTTTGGTGGAGCCAACAGGTTTGCATCTGTGTTGGAATCCTCTGTTTTTACCTTGTACTGTATCAAAGAGTAAGTTATGGATTCCATGCCTTATTTGGAACAACTAGCCTTTTTCTGGATTCTATGCCTCATTTGGAACAACAAGACTTTTTCAATGAACAAAGTTTGGAAACCGTATTTTTTTCGTTCATGACATGTCATAAAGGTTTGATATATATCCTGCTCTTTTTGGTTGAGTGTGGTGTAAATTAATATTGATTGATTAAACAAACTTATGTAAATATAAACACTTGGCTTCAATCGAACGATCCAGCAGGTAGATTTCCTACGTTGTTTATAAAACGAATACGAAGCAGTTGATCGGAAAAATGTCTATAAAACGAATTCTCTGTTTTCTTCCCCATTTTCTGTCTCTCTTTCTGCATTCCTTGCTGTCAGCTTCTTTCTCTTTCCTTTCCTCCCGATTCAGAGCCTGGATCGTTGCTTCTTATGCTTCCAACTTTGTTAACAAATCAACCATGAAGTAGATTGGACATTGCTGGGCATCAACCATGAAGCAGATTGGACATTGCTGGGCAGAGATGGATTATGAGCCAGAAAAATCAACTTAATCTGATTCCACAAGAGATGATCAAGATTTAGTCACCCATCATTCGTGAGTGAGAAAATACTCGATGAGGCTCGAGTTTCACTATAAATAATACCATTTGATAACGACAAAGTACTAAATGGTGGCAACTCGATCAAATGCAAGCTATTCGAACATATTCAAATGGTTCCAAGGAATAATACTTAACTTAAAAGCAGCAAGTATTTTTCATAGTCAAAATCGCTGATTATCTCTGATTTCTCAACTTAGCAGAAAGCATAATACAACTATAACTAAAACAAAAAGTCACAGTTCATTCGTAAATATGAGAAAGTTGATTCAAGAATCCATTTTCAAGCCCCAACAACTTCGGTGGCCTCCTCGACAACTTCATCGGCAGGCCTATCTACCTTCACGCCAACATCTTCTGAATAATCGCCATGAACCTAGACATAGTAAAAGAAAGGATTGGTCATAATGATAAAAACTATTGCAACAAGTTTCACGACCTCAAGTGACACTTGAGCACTAATTTGAAAAGGCTGACGAGCAGACTTGATCATGAATCTTTCAATTGAGTGAAAATGGAAGGGAAACCAGCAGGTTTAATGAGCAGGCAAACAGCTATATACCTCCATCAACTTTCCAAGATCAAACTTGGGAGCTTTCAAGATCTTGACCTTCCGAATGAAAACATTTTGTAGAGGGTATATGCTAGATGTTGCCTTCTCGATTCCTTTTCCAATTGATTCAGGAATAAACTTACGAACCAACTCTTTCAGATCACAGGACGTTGCCTGGTTTACCATGATCTCCCTCATCTTTCGGCGAATCTGCAATAAAAAACTATAGTTAACAAACAGTAACAGATCTGTCTGGTTGATCATGAAGATCTCGTTCCCATGTCCTTAAAAACCAGGCTCAATGCACAAGCATATTTTCATTCCAAGTGAGAAAACAGAAACATAGCAAAAGTTACATAGAGAAAAGTTCAACTCAAGTGATGTGGAACAACTCTTAGTTTATACTGTGTAACTAAATGTTTGAATACAAGAGAGTAGTGTAAAATAATAGAAAATCAAGTACTTGTTGTAATGGGAATAAGAAAATCACTAGATCCAAGTACCAAACGACAGGTAGAACAAAACATAGTAATAGACTATCATCACAGTAAAGATTAACAAAAACCATTCTTAGTAGATGATTTTATTGTAACTAAGTTATTAAAGAAAACAGTCTTTGAGAATCTGGAAAGAATATTATCAATGACAATGAACAAGTCTCAGCCACATATAATGCACATAGAACAAGTAATGCTTCCATACATGCCCTTGTTTAAGAAAATAGTTATCCACAACGCATTTTTTCATCCATAATTTTAAACTCAATATCATTTTCCACAGTAAACTAATCATAGAAATTTCAGACATCAGTAAAACTTTCTTAAGACATTAGATAACATGTAGTCAGTAGTCACCTGTCTAATCTGACTGGATTGTGCATAACAGGTCCTTTTGACCTGGTTTGGGCGTCTCTTGGTAAATCCAATGCAGAACATCCTCAGAGTATAGCTGTCTGTGGTCTTAACATCCACATGAGCTTCAATCAACGTATGCCACTTCCTCACCAATGACCTCAATTTATCAGTAGTAAAATTCATTCCCTGTTTAACAATGGAGTTTTATGAGTTCTAAAAATTCATAAGGGCTGCTTGAAATGGAAAAAAAAAAAAACCATTATTGAAGAAAACTAAAAAATTAGTACCATTTAAACACTTTCATATCCATTCCAAAAATAAATAATAATAAAAAAAACAATCGTACCCAGAAATTAGTCAGAACGTTCCTTCCTTGAACATCTTCGGCTCTCAATCTAATCTTTCGGTAGGCGTGCTCCTCGTCATCCTGAAGGTCAGCCAAGGATACCTCAAACACACGGTGTTTAAGTCCCTCAGAGGCAATCTGTTGGAATAAGAATTATAAGTATTTAAAAATATACAAACGAGAAGAAAATGCACAAAGCTGAAAGACAAATAATTGCTACAGCAATCTACAAGTACTATTATACATCCAGAATCTAACATTCTAGAAGCTAAACATCAATACCAAAAGTGCAAACATATTTCACTAAAATTTATACTTTAGAATAATAAATGCATCTCCTAATCTACAAATGAGTGACTTCAACTACCACTACATGACCAGAAATTTCTGGTCTTGCACAAAAACCACAATTATATACCTAAAGAGCTTTGAGAGTTAACACAGTAAATGTAATTTCAATATTACTCAAGATTCCATACCAAATAACAGCTGAATAAATTAATTCCATTTTCGCAATCAACGCAGTTGAGCAAGAAAAAACTGTTTGGTTAGAATATTAGGCAAACACTTGAAGTATGTAAATTTATATTTTCTTCAGTATACTCTACATTACGGGGCCTACTCCTTTTAAGTGCCTGTAGTGTCGGGCTACTTTCTATACCAGAAATTACAGTAACCTCTCCATAATAAGAAAAATGCTTCCACGCAACGAAAGCAAACTAGGGCAAACGTAGATGGAGAAAACTTAATAAAGTATGAATGAAGGAGAGCGATTAAAGTGCCGAATCTACCTTGGTACCCTGAGTGCGAGTAACGAGTGTCTTCCCAACGTTCTTGACATTGAACACAGAAGGTGCCTTGATATCGTACCAATCCTTCTTGGCAAATGGGTCGACACTAAAGGATCCCCGGAGGAATGAAACCAAATTAATATATACAACGATTGAGCACTAATAACCATTACAGACTAATTGAAAAACTAAAACTTGACAACATTAGACACCTAGATCTGATATGAGAAAATTCAAAGGAAAGAGACAAAACACTCACGTCTTCTTCTTGCCTCCCTTCTTTCCTTTCGAAATCCTCTTGTTCTTTCTGCAAAATATAAGAAGAAAAACAGTAGCATCAGTGAAAAGAGTACAAACGGAAAGGAGGTGACAAAAGAAATGGAGACGAAGAGTTACCCGACAGCCATGGTTAGACCAGTTGGGAAGCTCAGAGCAGCTCCAGAGGAAGAAAAACTATCGAGAGAGATACGGCTGCGCCAAAAACCCTAATTTCATCTCTTTAAATAGGTCCTCGGCTCGTTTTCTTTTTTTTTTTTTTTTTTTTATTTTCTACAAAATTCGTTAAATTTCGCAAAAATCAGAGTAGCAATGGTGAACTATTTATTGTTTTATTTCTTTTTTTTTTTTAAATAAATATATATTTATTAAAAAAAATTAAATTGCTCATTTTTTATTTATATTTGATGTAAAATAGTAATTTAAACACTTGAAAAAATAGATAGGAGTATTGATAAAAATATTAAATTAATAATTCTATCAATTTATATTTTATATTTTTTATATTTTTAGTTATATTATGTAAACTTATAATTATTTAATCAATAATAAATAATTTTAAATAATTGAGAATTATTGAATATATTATTTATATTTTATCGATATAAATTAACTTTAAAAAATTAATATAATTATTAATTTTTGGGCAAACATTTAAAGGTAATTTGTAACAAAATAAAAAATTTCCCCCTGTCCCTCTCGTTCTCCTTAGTTAGCTTCTGCGCTTCCAGCAATTCACAAAAATACGCTTAAAAGTTCGGATTTTGAAGAAGGGAAGCGGCGCTCCGCCGATTCTACCCTTCCTCCGGCACCGGATTGACCGCTCTTTCTTTCTCTGTAGTTTCTATCTGCCCCACCAGTTTCACTGCACATAAATCAACTAGGGAGTATCAATGGCGGAAGCAGAGACAGGATCAGCTACAGGCAGCAGTGGCGGAAGAGCGGAGGCGTCGCTGAAGGACAAGGGCAATGAGTTTTTCAAAGCAGGAAACTATCTCAAAGCGGCTGCACTTTACACTCAGGCTATCAAGCTAGACCCTTCGAATCATGCTCTTTATAGGTATATTACTCTTTCCCTTTTCTTTTGCTTGATACTGTTTTCGTAATTATTAAGAATGTTACTCTCGTGTGTTCTTTGCACTATTTGATTGATTGTGAATACAATGTTTCTCCTGATCTGGATGTTACCTTAGTCGAGAGCTCAATTATTGACTCCCGGTAGCTCATCAACACTGATTAGGTTATAGAATATCACCATGGCCTAGTGGTCAATAAAGGCTAATGTAAGTAGTACAAGTGATATGAACCAACGCGGCATCTCAATCATGCAATATTAATATCAATCAAGATTCATTCAAGTAGAGCTTCATTTATTCATAAATTAGTATTTGGATATTCGTGAATGTATTTTGAGACTTTTATTTATTTAAAGTTACATTTATAGTGGTTAATTATTGTCATAAAGTATGAAAGTTACGACTCTTTGAATGCCTCATGGAAGGTTAAAGGTTTTCATTTTGAGGCTATATAAAGTCATGTTATCATTGTAAGGGAAACTTGGAAAATGTAGTCAAAGGAGCCGGCTAAGTTTCTTTGCGATTCTATGTAGTTTAGGTTGCATGTAGAATTATTCGAGCTCGACATGATCAATCTTGCTTGTGGAGTGATTCGAATATCAAACAAGTGTTCTTGCCTTGAGATATTTGATCAACAAGGTAATCCGAATCTTACTTCCCTTGTAGTGATTATGTGCAAGTTGGCTTGGTCAGCCGTGGATATAAAAGAAAAACGAGATTAGGCTATTGAATTTACGACAGTCTAGTCTGTAAGAAGAAGAAAGTTGCATACTCATGCATAGTATTTGAGAAACATAGGCCAACATCCACTTTTCAGTCAGCTGCAAAACCCTTTTCTGAATTGGAGGAATTATAAGGAACTCATGCCCACTTGCAATCAAACTGGAATTACAAAGAAAATGGAAAAACTGAAGTTTCCTTAATTTGTTGTGGTGAATTACACTTGTCCATTTGCCTAATTTTGATCATTGGCTGGCAGCACACGAGACGACGAGACAATGGATAGTTTTACAATATTTGTGCTTCGTTACCATATGCTTGTACAAAGTATAAGTTGAGCTGATGTATTTTCGGTTTTCCAGCAATCGTGCTGCTGCCTTTCTGCATCTAGTTAAGCTTAACAAAGCACTTGCCGACGCTGAGATGACAATTTCATTGAACCCACAATGGGAAAAGGTAACAAATTCCATTCCATGTATTGTTTGAGCCAGATCCTTTTCAGTTCCGTTCATTCAGTCTCTGCAGTTTTGATATGCCACAGGGATATTTCAGAAAGGGATGCGTTTTGGAAGCCATGGAAAAATATGACGATGTATGTTGAATGCTTCCTTGCAACGTTCGTGTCAATGACGTACATAATATTTACTAACTATGGCTGAATTCATCTGATAGTTCAAACGTTCTTGTTGTAGGCATTGTCTGCATTTCAAGCCGCCTTACAGTACAATCCACAAAGTGCAGAAGTCTCAAGAAAGATCAAAAGGGTTTCACAGTTAGTGAAAGATAAAATGAGAGCCCAAGAAGTGGAGAACAAGAGATCAAATATAGATATGAAGAAGCACTTGGATAAGCTGAAATCTGAACTGGTGAGTTGCATTCATCCAACCGAGGCTTATTTTCACAGCATATACTGTAATAGGTTATGAAAATAGCAACTTTCCACGTTTCGATTCTCTAGAGATGAATTTACTCTTGAATTAGCCCTCCCGACGTGTACGGATAACCATCGATTTCTATTTGCAGTCTGACAAATATGGCTCGGAAGAAGGCTGCAAAGACATATTTTCTTTTCTTGTTGAAACAATGGAGGCTGCTGTGAGATCATGGCATGAAACTTCCAATGTGGATGCTAAAGTGTACTATTTACTCGATAAGGAAAAGACGGATACCGAAAAATATGCTCCAATTGTTAACATTGATAAGGTGTTCGCTGTCTCCCGTTATTCTCAAAACTCAAATATTGAGTCTGAACTGTTTATTTGGTTCCTAAAAGAAACGGTGTAACCATTATATACCAACTATTCCTGTTTTTGTGCAATGCAGGCATTTGCATCGCCTCACACGCATGGTGATTGTTTTCAATTCTTAAGGAAATATGCCGAGGATTCAGTCGCCCGAGCAGCATGCTTAGTTGCTCCCAAAAGCTTGATATCTTACCCACAGGTGAAGTTTAATGTCTTTGTTTCTACATAGCAAAGATATAATATATCCATAAAACTCCATTTTTACATCTATCTTCATCTCCTCTAACTCCCTCTGTTCATAAACAACTTTTTTGTCACTATTCTAATAGTATTCCTAGGAACCTTTAGTTGTGCAAAAATTCTCAAAAAATAAATATTGTTTGCAGGTCTGGAAAGGACAAGGTTCAAGAAAATGGAAGCATGGACAGCATGATGGTTTCTTTGTTCAGCTTGAAACTCCTTCCCTAAGAAAGCTATGGTTTGTTCCTAGTTCCAATGAACTGGGACGACCATTGTGCCGGTCTCTTTCTCTCTCTCTCTCTCTGCTGCTACACTTGGTGTTTTTCATGCATATAAATTGCACTTGTTCTATGCAAAACTGCCATCAAGGAACACAATCATCTTAAACGTTTCTTTCGCCTCAATTCTACGTCTGGGTTGCATAATTTTATTTGACATGGAAGGTTTCCCCCATTTTCGTGTGTTTTTCATGTGGTTTTTTAACCTCAGTTCGATTGCTACCTGTTGTTTTCTTTACCATAAAGCAATTGCAAGATGATCTCCATGGACAAGAATCAAGCTCTGTACAAAACTATGGTTTATGCGAACGATTTATCTATCATCCTTTGTTAATTAACTACTTTTATGGTTTGTTGGATTTTTCTCATCTATAGACTATAATATCAACGTTTTAGTAACTTTGAGATCGGTATCCATGGTCACAGCATTCATGTCTTATTTTTCAGGGATCCTGAGGTTCTGGATATCGGTGCACATGAACTAATACCGCGCATATTTAAAGAAAAGCTGTCGAGCACTTAGAGTCAATGGAGCCAGACTTGGGTTCGAACTCTCAATGTTATCATCGTCTTTTCTGAAGAGCGCATTGCCAACAAAGGTTCTTAGAAGGCCTTTTCGCGAATGTTTGTAAGCGTTTCACATTCATACCATGCCCACACAGATAGAACTGTAGGAAGTTTGAAAACTGAGAGCTGCTTTTGTTTTTTCAAACAATAGACATTCTATGTTGTACGATTGTTGATTGCTGTTTTGTTATGTAGCGTTGCTAAACATGGAACAGAGTTCTTATCAATATTCTTCATTTCCTGTCCTTGAATTCTAAACATGGAACCACTGTACAGAGTGGTTCCTGACAGTGGCAGTCAGGAACTTTTCTTACTTCACATGCAACAAGAGATCTGTAGTTGGTATTTGTGAGCACTGTACATGTGGAACCACATTCACTATTATTGACTGAACTTGCAGACTTGGCAAGCTTCATTGTCCATGGATACTGGAAGTCTTGGGGTGCACAGCCCATATGAGAAGACGATCGCTCAGTTGGTGCCCACCTTCTGCTTGATTGTCTCTCAAATGATTCTGGCCTCGTCTTTGGCGCACTCTGTGACCGTACTTTGGCTCTTGAAGATTGTGTATTGGCCATGTAACTTGGGAACATTGGATACTCAAAAGACAGAGACTGCATACAATTTGTTGTGGAATCTTGTGGGTCCTCGAAATGACGACTGCAACCTTGTGGGTCGATGTCGGTTCGAGTAGATGGTACTAGTGAGACAAGGTGTGCTTGATGTGTGAACCTACGTTCATGTCTTGTCCTGTTCTTTGAGCCTCGTATACTCTCTCCATGATCCATCTCCACAATCTTAATCTTTTCCTCTGCAACCTTCATTCACAATATTGAAATGGGTTTGTTGAAGTTCCTACTTTACTGATGTTTCAAGCAACGTTCAAGTTAAGCTGCAAGTTTAGGCAAAAGAATGATATACTTACATGATCAGTACAACCAAAGTGATCTTTGTTAACCGAAGGGTTTTTCCCTTCGATCATCCTGATCCGTTCGGCACGAGCTCGAGCCTGAGCCATGATCAATGCTTGCATACACCTGAGAGTAGCTTTGGCCTGTTTTCTAACAAGGTGACCTCTAGCTAGTGCCTGCAGCTTCAC